GCAGTGGAGGAAGGGCAGGTGAAGGAGGGAGGGAAGGGGGTGAAAATGGAAATACTGGGTAGGTAGAGATGGTAAACCGCCAGGGTTGGGGTGTGGGTGGCTGGTCTGGAGGCATTTGCTCCCAGATGGGGGCAGGAGGGGGGAAGGGGTACTGAGTGATGGTGGGCACTGGTCCAACAGCAGGACCGAGGGTGAGGGGAGGCTCTGAGAATCGGTTCCGTCAATTCTAGGGGCTCCTCCCTTACAGCAGAGCAGCGGTGGGAAGGGGGGGCGGGGGGTTCGCCACAAATGCTGGTAGAGAAGGTCTCTGTGCCTGTGCCTGTGCCTGTGCCTGTGCCTGTATAGAGGTCTCTTCCTTCGCCCCTGCCTCTCTGCCCTCGGTATTCCAACGTGTGCATTCTCAGCTGACACCCTCAGAAATGTGGCTGCCCCATCTTCCTGGGGTAGGATGGAGGGAGGGGAGGTGCAGCCTTGGCTATCCTGGGGTGGGGGCGAGGCTCAGTCCCCAGCTGGAACAGGGAGGGGTGCTCCAGTACCTCCTCCCTCCTGGTACCTACCCCCCCCCCCCTGTGGATGTTTTGATAAGTGGCTGCTTCTTAATGACCTTGTCACCTGGGCTAGGGTGGCCTGGGGTGTCAAGGTGGCTTTGAAAGTCAGGTGCTTGAATGGGGTAGGAGGTGCCTTCTGGACTCTCCTCTGATCCAGGGCTGAGTGAGTTACCCTGAAAGGCAGCATTTGCTCAGGAGTCCCAGTCCCCCACTCCTCTGCCAACAATGCCATTTGTCCAGGCAGGTGAAGCCGGCCAACCTTAAAGGGCTGTGTAACCCTGAATCTTGTCTTCTTTAGCCTCCACCTCTCCAAGTCTTGTCTGTCTCCCACAGGCTTAGCCACCCTGTGCTGCTGTTGGAGCTAAAAATAGCATCACTTTCTCACCAGCACAAAGAATTTGTCTTCTTTCTCTCTCTCCTGACCTCCTGGGCTTGTTGGTCCTGGGGGAGTTGGCTGTTGAGCCATCTCATATTCTGCTGTGGCTCTAGGGGCCTTCTCTACCCTCCATGCACCCTCAGGGGTAAATAGTGTTAACAGACCTTGGGTATGGCTCCTGGTGGGTCCATCTGCCTCCTTCAGGGTTTGGGGGGAGAGCCTAGCTGGGAAAGAAAGAAGAGGAAAGCAAGTTGCCATGCAGTGGGGGGGTTCCACAGTTCCCTCTCTTTCATAGGGGGTGGTTTGGACCCTGATCCACAAAGAAAAAGAGGTGGCATAGGGGTCACTGGTTCTGGTCATGGTGGTCCGCTGCTCACATCTGTCCTTGAGGGGGTAAGGCTCTGCTTGCCAGTGCTTCTCTCTGAACCACATAGCACTACTTACCCCTTCTCCGTGTGTGTGTGTGTGTGTGTGTGTGTGTGTGTGTGTGTGTGACATTTAATGAAGGCCTTGGATGGAGGCAGGATATTTTAGGGGAATGATCTCTGGTGAGAATCTAGTCCTGCTTCCTCTGCTTTATGAAGGAAGTAGGGGTTCTCCCATGTCTCCCTCTGGAGGATGTATGTTTTTTGGGGGGAGGCTGAAGGCCCCCTTCCATACCAGCCTCCTACGCAATGCGGTATTTGTGGACTCCTTTTCCCTAGACTACTGGAGGAGGGACAGAAAGAATTAAGGGGGATTAAGAGGGGAGGCCCTGGAGCAATGAGATGCTACTACTATAGACTTTATTTACTTATTTATTTATTAAATATATATTTATTGACTTCAGAGAGGAAGGGAGAGGGAGAGATAGAAACATCAATGATGAGAGAGAATCATTGATTGGCTGCCTCCTGCATGCCCCCCTAATAGGGATCGAGCCTGCCACCCAGACATGTGACTGGAATCGAGCCCAGGACCCTTCAGTCCAAAGGCTGATGCTCTATCCACTGAGCCAAACAAGCTAGGGCTACTCTGGACTTCAGACCCCCCATGTTGGACGTGTATGCTTGATCAGCCTCCTCCATTCCCACCCCACCAGTGCTAATGTCCTGAAGGAAGGTGACAGCAGCCAGTCATTACCTCTTTCTTAGCTTTTGATCTGCCCTCTTCTCCACGGCCTCGGGTTCTAGGTCTCCCTTTTTTCGAGTGTCCCTTTGTTTGTCTAGCTGGGGACATTGTGGGGCGGGGACAGTGTGGGCCAAGCTGCTGGAATTAGTTTGAACACAGACGGGTCTTGGGATTGTTTTGGGAGGACATTGGACAGCAGCACCCAAGTATGACCCCCGCTTTATTCTCGCCGGTTCCTGCTTCGTTCCCATTGTTCAATCTAATAGGAAGGAAATGAATATTTATAGGTTATCTACTGTGAGATTAAATTCTCACATGGACTCGGAGAAATAGAGATGATTATCCCCAGTTTAAATCTAGGGACACTGAGGCTTAGGGAAGTTAACTAACCTGCCCATGATTCACTAGTTAAGTAATAGCAGACTTGGGATTTCATCTTCGATCACGTAGCTGTGTGTGCTTTGTGCTGAAGCAGCGTTCCCTGCCAGTTTCCCTGTCTGCTGCTCACCCTCAAGGGCATTTTCTGGGGTCTTAGGAGCAGAGGGCATCTCACTATATCATTATTGCCACAAAGAGTAAGAACTAATATTTATTCATCACTTTTATGTGCCGGGTACTATGGTAAGGAGCCCATGTGCTTTTTTTTTTTTTTTTACTTTTGTGCATTATGTTACTTAATGCTTATTTTTCCCGAAGAAGAAGCTGAGGCATGGGTGTTCAGAGACCTGCCCGTGGTCGTTTAGCTAGTAGGTGCTGAAGCAGGAAGTCAAACCCCAGTCTGGAAGCTGAGCTTTTACTCACGGGCGATGTTGGGAGGAGACCTCTCCTTGGGCGGCGTATAAACATGGAACCTGAGGGGAGGACTTTGGAAGCTCCACCTTCAGATGCCATCAGTGCCCTGAAGGCAACAGGTCGGAGGATTGGTGCTCCTTCTACACATTCTCCCAAAGCTCTGACCTTAGGGCAGGCGGGCGCAGGGAATTCTGGCTTCCTGTATTTCCTGTTTTATTCTTTGCAGGTTGGTGGTAAAGGAAGGGGTTTGATCTGGATGTGGGGCGGAGGGCCAGGAGAAGAGCTCTGTGTGGGTGACTGTTACTGAAGGGCAAATCCCATGGATCTAGTCTCCAAGGTCAGAATAAGGGGGTTTATACTGAGTGACCTGCAGTTGGTCCCAGCAGTCATTCCTTCTTATCGAACGCGAGCTTGAAGCACGGAGGCCATCTCTGTCCCACATGGTGCCGGTGGGGCTCTGGGTCGACAAGAGTTCTGTATTGGCTCTTTTTTTTTTTTTTTTTTTACCATCTTAAGCCTTATAACCTCTTTCTTCTCCTTCTTATTTTTAGATATCCAGAGGTGCCTGGAAGAGAAGTAGGCGCTTTTCCTGAGTTATCCTGGCTCCCCAGCTTTGCCCCCCCAAAGCTGGCTTCCCCTCTCCTTCTCTTTCCCCTACTTCCCCTCTCCCTTCCCTATGTACCCAGCTGAACTGGGTGTAGGCCACATCTCGCCTCCCTCTTTTCTTCTCCTAGACATTCTTTGGCCGGGTCCTATTCTGTGCCCAAAGATACTTGAACACACTTCATCAAAGTGACTGGGAGAAGGGTCTTTTTGACTCCACGTTCTTGAGCAAAAGCTGAATCAGGAGCAGGAAGTGGGGGAGACCTGTCATGGAAGAGGGCTTCAGAGACCGGGCAGCTTTCATCCGTGGGGCCAAAGACATTGCCAAGGAAGTCAAGAAGCATGCAGCCAAGAAGGTGGGGAAGGGCCTGGACAGAGTCCAGGACGAATATTCCCGCAGATCCTACTCCCGCTTTGAGGAGGAGGATGACGACGACGACTACCCTGCTCCAGCTGATGGCTATTACCGTGGGGAAGGGGCCCAGGAGGAGGAGGAAGGTGGCGTCTCCAGTGATGCCACGGAGGGCCACGATGAGGATGATGAGATCTATGAGGGGGAATATCAGGGCATCCCCCGGGCAGAGTCTGGGGGCAAAGGCGAGCAGATGGCCGATGGAGCACCCCTGGCTGGAGTGAGGGGAGGCTTGGAGGATGGGGAGGGCCCGCCTGGGGGCCGGGGGGAGGCTCAGCGGCGGAAAGATCGGGAAGAACTGGCCCAGCAGTATGAAACCATCCTCCGGGAGTGTGGCCACGGCCGCTTCCAGTGGACACTCTACTTCGTGCTTGGTCTGGCGCTGATGGCCGATGGTGTGGAGGTCTTTGTGGTGGGCTTTGTGCTGCCCAGCGCTGAGAAAGACATGTGCCTGTCTGACTCCAACAAAGGCATGCTGGGTAAGACACACTGGGGGCGCTCCAGCCCCCATTCTGCTCCAAACTCTGTAAACGGGCTCCTCTGCACGTCCCCCTCGCACACCCCCTCCCGTGGGCTCGGGTCACAGTGAGGTTGTTTGTGCAAGGAGGGCCTGGGGGTGGGGGGACAGCTGGGCTGGGGCTTGGGCCGGTGGTTGGGAGGTGGCCATAGTGGGAGGGGCCCTATTTAATGTTTCTTCAGAGCCTCTCCTCTTGCTATCCTGCCCCCTTTCCCTGATGGCGGCAACAGAAAGTCAGTATTCAAACTCCCTAGGTCCGTGGTCGGCAAACTGCGGCTCGCGAGCCACATGCGGCTCTTTGGCCCCTTGAATGTGGCTCTTCCTAAGCCTTAGGAGTACCCTAATTAAGTTAATAACAATGTACCTACCTATATAGTTTAAGTTTTAAAAATTTGGCTCAAAAGAAATTTCAATCGTTGTACAGTTGATATTTGGCTCTGTTGGCTAATGAGTTTGCCGACCACTGCCCTAGGTGATACGGGAAGGATCAGTTTGGGGTGGTGGGAGTAGGGGAAGAATCGTAGGCCTGCCTCCAGCCAGAGAAGCTCTTGGTCAGCCTTGGGAGTCAGGGGCCAGTGGGTGGCCCTTCCTGATGGGGACCCCGAGGAAGGGAACTCCCAGACTCACTCAGAAAGGGTCTCAGTCTTGCTGCACCACCAAGTTACCGTGAGCTATTGGGCAGGTTCCTTTTCCCCTGGAGCTCTGCTTCGGCCTGGGTAAAATGTAGAGTCTGGAGTAGATGATTTTTAAGATCGACTCCAATTCTGAATTTATGAATGAAGCAAGAAACAGGAGCGTTTTAGGGCCAGAAGTGTTGGCATTATAAGGATTTTGTGGGGAGGATTTCCTGGGTGGAGTAAAGGACTGGAGCTCTTTTCTCAGGGAACATGAGAGAGACCTGTTAATTTGAGGGCCTCAAGGCAGAGAGGATGGAGGGGCTCCTGGGTGGGTTGAGGAATTCATTCCTCATTCCAGGCAAGCCAGAGATGGGGGTATTGTGTGTCTGTGTGATAGCAAGAGAGAGAGAAAGAAGTAAGAGTGAGCAAGAGAGAGTGAGAGGGAGAGAAAAGAGAATTCTGGGTTTCTCCTGTAGCTGTATTCCTGCCTTTGAACCACTGGCCTGCAGAGATGGCCTTCCCATCTTTGCTTCCACAATTCATCTTCTCTCACCTGCTCTCACCTCTGGGTGGAATTAGCTTTTAGAAGATCTTCGAGTCCTTGATCTATTCGGCTGCAGTTTCAGATCATTTAATGTTCATTGAATGGAAAAACTGAGTGGGTCTATAGACTCATACCCTTCCTGCCTCTTCCTCCTTCCAGGCCTCATCGTCTACCTGGGCATGATGGTGGGAGCCTTCCTCTGGGGCGGTCTGGCTGACCGGCTGGGTCGGAGACAGTGTCTGCTCATCTCTCTCTCAGTCAACAGCGTCTTCGCCTTTTTCTCATCTTTTGTTCAGGGTTATGGCACTTTCCTCTTCTGCCGCCTCCTTTCTGGGGTTGGGTGAGTGTCCACCTCCTCAGCCCCTGGAGGGCAGGATGATGCTGTGGTCACTGTTATATCTCTGGGGCCCAGCACAGTGCCAGGCATGCCAGAAGCACTTTAAGTACTAGTATGTATGAGTTGAATGAATGGATTCCTTTCTCCTCCCACCATCTTCAGGCCAGCTTCTCCCTGCCCAGGACCTGCCTACCGTCTGTCCGGAATGCCATTCCATGCCTGTCCCATTCCTGAGCCTTCCACCCCGCCCTTTAGTTCCATTCTGAGTCTGGCTCCATGAAGAGGCCTCGTGGTCTCATCCTCACATCTGGTTATCTGTGGACCCTGGAGTTATTCCCTTCCCAGAGCCTGCATATTTCCTGCATTTGACAACCTGAACTCTGAAACCTTGACCCATCCTATTCCCGCACTTCTACCTGCATGTACTTTCGCCTTGTTTCCAAGCTATTTTCTGGTCTGCTCCCTCATACCTGCTCTCAGGCTCTTCTTTGCCCCTTTTTTCGGGGACGGGAGGGGGTAGTGGGGGGGGGACTTTCCCTTTTTCTGTAATCATCTTCCCTTCCTTTCAACTCTGTAGTATCTTCAAGATTCAATGTTTGTCCCTTCCCTTTCCCTGAGGCCTGCTGGCTTTCCACCTGCTGACCTTTGACCTTTCCTGCTGCTTGGTTCCCAGGGTCCCATTGATGGGTGCTTGATGGATGGTGGTGAGGGAGTTTGAAGGTGTGAGAAGGAGTCTCTTTAGAAGGGTCTGGATGATGGACAGGACTGGGTGATGCAGAGCACTGGGGCAGGAGATAAGGAATAGGGCCCTTTCCAATGCTGAATTCTTGGAATGCCCTCCAGGATTGGAGGGTCCATCCCCATCGTCTTCTCCTATTTCTCGGAGTTTCTGGCCCAGGAGAAACGCGGGGAGCATTTGAGCTGGCTCTGCATGTTCTGGATGATTGGTGGAGTCTACGCAGCGGCTATGGCCTGGGCCATCATCCCCCACTATGGTGAGCAGCCCGCAGGGAATGCACCCCAGATGTCTCCCTCCTCTCCTGTGCTCCCTGTGGTGGGCACCCCCAGCCAATGGCCTCTCTGCTGAATCTATGATTGTCCCTGCCAGGGTGGAGTTTCCAGATGGGGTCTGCTTACCAGTTCCACAGCTGGAGGGTCTTTGTCCTCGTCTGCGCCTTTCCTTCTGTGTTTGCCATCGGGGCTCTGACCACCCAGCCTGAGAGTCCCCGCTTCTTCCTGGAGGTGACTGGGCTGGGGGTAGGGCAGCGGGAGCTCCTGTGTTCAAACACCGCTGTGGGTTTGGTTTGATCCTGTATAGCTGCCTGCCTTCCTCACAGGGTCCATGCTCTGTTGGGTGTTATCTTCCTTCCTTTGTATGGAATGCATCTCTAGAAGGGTTCTGTGGGTGGAGAAGCCAGGGGATCTGTTCAACCATGGGTGGTTTAACATTTTACAGGCAGGGGCCCTGGCCCTGACTTCACAGCTCCAGAAAAGTTCTATTCCCCCTTCCCCTCCCCAGTTCTCCCCTCCAACTATATCTTGGTCCAACAGGTTTAGGACTGTCTGACTACATGCTTGCCCATCATCACCATTTGCTTGTTTTGTTTTCTTTTTTACCATTTTACCAAGGGATCCCTAGGACCTATGCTTGTATCTATTTCCTGGACTCCCTGACTGTTGCCCAAGTCTGATTATGTCTTGCTTGGGGCCCTTTTAGAATGGGCGATGGACCCGCCCATAGGTCAGGGGTTGGGGGTGGGGACGTTTTTGTGTTCTATGATTCCAGAAACCGGGTTGGGAGGAGGGGGGGTCTACAACCCAGGGTCAGGGAGGGGCTAACCTGGATACGGGGATTCTGTCGGCTCTAGAATGGGAAGCACGATGAGGCCTGGATGGTGCTGAAGCAAGTTCATGACACCAACATGCGAGCCAAGGGACATCCTGAGCGAGTCTTCTCAGTAAGCCACAGTCCTACCCTCCAGTCCTCCAAGCTGCTGCACCGCAACTCCCACCTGGCCCCTCTCGGGATACCCCAACCTTCCTAGGCATCTCTGACAACACTCTCTCTCAGTGACATCTCTTAGGGTATCCTGTCCACCCCTTCCTCCCATTTCGATAGTGTGGGAGAAACTGAGACACCTGGAAGGAATTGGGACATGCAGATAGGTGACTGCTCGCGCCTTCTCTTGACCCCAGGTGACCCACATTAAGACGATTCATCAGGAGGATGAGTTGATTGAAATCCAGTCAGACACAGGGACCTGGTACCAGCGCTGGGGGGTCCGGGCATCGAACCTGGGGGGGCAGGTAATAAGGGATTGTATGGTGGAGAGAGAGAGAAGGAAGTGGGAGGAGTGGAGAGGAAGGCAGTGTGTGGGGTGATAGGTAAACTGAAGGGAGGTGGTAGGGTAGAGACATGGGGATATGGGGGTGTTAGAAGTTAGTGCGGCCACTGTCTGACTGAGTTCTATTTCGCTTAGGTTTGGGGGAATTTCCTCTCCTGTTTTGGTCCAGAATATCGGCGCATCACTCTGATGATGATGGGTGTGTGGTTCACCATGTCCTTCAGGTGAGAAGGTGGGTGGGGTAGATGGTATGTAGTGGGTGTGATGGCGTGTGGGTTGGGAGAGAGGTGGAGAAAATGGAAATGAAGGGGGGCAAATAATGAGGGAAGGTGCTGTTCAGATCCCCTCTGATCCTCCACCTTGCTCCTCTACTCCACTCATTAATCCAACACACTGTATTATAGGCTGAACAGTATTAAGTTTCTATTCTGTGTCAGGTACTGTGCTGGGCTGAAATAAATGTAGTCGCAGTCCTCATGGAATTTACATCTTGGGCAGGGAGCTAGACAAAACTAGCATAAGGCAGTGTGATGAGTACCACATGGGGTGGGGGCGGGGGGTAGAGGGGGAAGTACAAGATGTTCTGGGAGCACAGGAGAGGGGTTTCCCAGTCCAGATCTGAGTTCTGGAGGATGAATGGGAGTTAGGCTGAGGGTGGGTTAGGGAGGATGTTTTAGGCAGAGGGAAGAGCAAATGCCTGGAAGATAACATGGTGGGAGGGTTAGAAGAACCACTACAATTGGTGAAGGGAGGAGTGGTGAGAGGTAAGACTGGAGAGGTGAGCAAGGTCCTGACATGGGCTGATGATCCTCGATCTCCCCCCTCATTCTGGAATGCCTGGTTCCAATCCCTGAGCCCTGTCTGATTCCATCGCCCTTGACTCTTCAGTTACTATGGCCTGACTGTCTGGTTTCCCGACATGATCCGCCATCTCCAGGCGGTGGACTACGCAGCCCGCACCAAAGTGTTCCCTGGGGAGCGCGTAGAGCATGTGACTTTTAACTTCACCCTGGAGAATCAGATCCACCGAGGGGGACAGTACTTCAATGACAAGTATGTGGGGACTTTTATACTGCACTCTTGTCCCTCTTCCCCTTGTCTCTCATATGAGTCTGGGCATTTTGAGACATGTATTTTTGGGGCAAAGATCTGTGGTTTCTCCTCAATGCCTCAGCTTCCCATTACTTAAGGGAATGAGCCTTGGAGGAGGGGATGAGGAGGAGGGGGAGTGCCTCTCACCATCCTGTCTTCCAGGTTCATTGGGCTGCGTCTGAAGTCAGTGACCTTTGAGGATTCCCTGTTTGAGGAGTGTTATTTTGAGGATGTCACATCCAGCAACACGTTTTTCCGCAACTGCACATTCATCAACACCGTGTTCTATAACACTGGTAAGGTGGAGTGGCCGGTGGCTGTCAGACCAAAGGGTTGGGTGCACTTGAGGAGGGGGTCCCTAGCTCAGGTTCTCAAGCTGAGCTCTCTGGAGCCTTGAAGGAAGGATGGGGCACATTAACTACCACCAATAATTCCAAAACTCTAATGGAAATTGAACATTTTCCTGTGATAGTTAGTCTATATGACAAAAATATCAAATTTCTTTGCCTTTGCCTAGAATTAAAACAATTCAGTGTGGCTGTAATAATGCCCTTTCGAAGAGGACAAAAATCATTCAAAACAGAGTTCTTGGGAAAAATAAAAACAAGAGATATTTGGTGAGGAAAGGTTGGAAATTATTGCATCAGTCCGTTTCTTTAACAGTGATTCTCAAACTATATGCACAGGAAATGCTGGGATTGTTAGACTGCGGTTTCCCACCTCTAATTGGAGTACTGAGTGAGCTTTTCCCACTTTGCAGGAAAAGATAATGGATAGGACTTTCAATGGTCTTAC